TTGTATTGAAGTCTTTTACGTTGTGGGCGAATGTATATGCAAAAACTAGAGATGCGTTCGGTCTTTGACGCTGGTCCTCCGAAAAGTAGGTGCAACGACAATCCATGGATGGCGCGCTTATCTATTCCTTATAGGCAGCAGATATCTTAATATGGCCGGCGTGAACAGCGTCGTCGTTCGTGCCTCCTGTGTGCGTATAGTCACCAGGCAGTAGGAGGAGAAGGTAATTACTCAACTCACTGGCGTTAAGAAACTGAATAACACTTTATTGTCTTGAGGTGTCGTGCGATATTGCAATATATGTAAAGGCGAGTTCGAGACGTCTTGCCCGGGAGCTGTACCAAGACTCTCTGTCTTCGAAACCAAAAAGGGGACGAAATCGCGCCAAAGCGTTCGTAAATTCGCTCTCTCTGTGCCATAACGTACACAACTTATATAGAGAGGGATCGCTAAAAGAAAAAGGACGCTGAGCCTACATACTCTCCCCCGAGTGACAACGTTACATAGTATAAAGGAACTGATATATATATATATATATTGTATGTAGCTAATATTAGTCGCTTAGAATGATATTTAACTTAGATTAATGTTAATGTCACTTACTGTCTAGGCTAAAACGAACGTTTTTTTGCAAGGGTAGGTTTTTAACTCGGTATGTGGTGATTGTGTATGAGTTGGCGGGTCTGTTTGTGACTTTGACGCTTGTTGGTCGGCTACATCATTATCGGGCGAGTCTGTATCATCGAGCGCGAAATACGCTGGTTTTAGTCTCTCTACTGATATATTGGTTGTCTTTCCTTTGATGTCTAAAGCGTATACTCGCTCTGAAACTCGCTGTACGACTCTATAAGGACCGGAGTATGGCCGTTCTAATGGCCGTTTGACCTCATTCCGAACAAAAACATGTGTGCATGTAGCCAAATCCTTAAAGTAGAAAACGCGTTTTTTATACTTGTGTGTAATAGGCACTGGTTTACATTCTCGCATGAATGTGCGGAAATCTTCTACGAATATTTGAGGATTCGGAATAAAATCGCCTTCTGTTACAAATTCTCCGGGGATTCGCAATGTTGTTCCGTATAAAAATTCGGCTCGAGAGGCACCTGTGTCCAGTCTAATTTGAGTACGCAATCCGAGTAGGACCGTAGACAGTACGCCAATCCAATTCCGAGATCCGCGACACATGATTGCAGTTTTAAGGGTGCGATGCCATCGCTCAATCATTCCGTTGGCCGCGGGGTGGTACGCTGTTGTGCGAATTCTATTGCAACTGATCAACTGGAGGAGGGCTTTGAAAATTTGACTCTCAAATTGGCTACCCTGATCGGTAGTTAAAATCTTGGGGACGCCGTAGCGTGCTATCCAGTGATCGTAAAATGCACGGATTACAGTCTGCGCGGATATGTCCGCGATGGGAATAGCTTCAGGCCATCTCGAGAAACGATCTATAATGGTTAAACAGAAACGAAATCCTTGACATAACGGTAGTGGTCCTATTAAGTCCATGTGGACGTGGTCGAAACGTCCGGTGTTGTAAAGTCTGCGGGTAAAAGTTTAACGTGCCGAGATATTTTCGATTGTTGGCAGTCGGTGCAGTTTTTGGCCCAATTAGCAATGTCGCGATGCATGTGTGGCCAAGTATCTTTGACAGATAGTTCGATCTGTGACTTTAGCACTAGGATGGGCAGGTGCATGAAACATGTCGAATACTTTTTTGCGCAACGAAACCGGTATATAGGGTCTGAACGATTCGCCTGACATTTCGCAAAATATGTGTGCGTTATCCGAGCCGAATATAAGTTCTTTAAATTTTAATAACGTAGTTGTCGACGTAAGCAGGCGCGGTAGTTCCGGATCGTTCTTCTGGAGTTCCGCCAGTTCGAGTAATTCGATTTCACATGGTAAACGCAGCGCTTGAATTCGTGACAAGCTGTCCGCTATTATATTTTCCTGGCCTGTAATGTGCGTAATGTCCGTAGTAAATTGCGAAATGAATGATAACTGGCGAAGCTGTCTTGGAGATGCTTTTTCCGATCATTGATTAAATGCGTGCACGAGGGGTTTATGATCCGTCAGGATTTTGAATTGTCGCTCTTCGAGGAAGTGACGGAAATGCTTAATGGCTTTGTAGATTGCGGTTAGTTCGCGGTCATAAGCACTATAATTTTTTTGAGCGGGCGTAAATTTTCGTTCAAAAGAATGCTAGCGGTTTCCAACAATTTGAAAAACGCTGTTCAAGAGCTGCTCCCATTGCGAAATCGGAAGCATCGGCTACCAAACGCGTTTCGGCGCTAGGCGAAGGATGCGCCAGCAACGCGGTGTTAGATAAACTATCCTTGCATTTCACGAATGCGGTTTCCGCTTCGATGGTCCACCGAATAGCACGTTTATCATTTTTGCGCGAGCCTTTCAGGAATGTGTGCAGAGGTGCTTGAATGCTCGCTGCGTTGCGCAGGTAACTGCGATAAAAGTTGAGAATGCCGAGGAAACGGCGCAAGTCTGCGATTGATTGTGGTTTAGGGAACCTCTGTATTGCGCTGACCTTCTCTGTCGTAGGTTTGCAACCGGACTTATTAATGTGATGTCCCAAGAAAACTAATTCCTCAACGCCGATAACGCACTTGCTCAAGTTTAAAGATAGGCCATATTCCTTGAGTTTGGTAAGGACTATGCATAGATGATGTTTGTGTTCATCCACGGTCGTGGACGCGATTAAAATATCATCAATGTATGAAAATGCGAAATCGAGATCTTTTAGTGCTTGGTGCAAGTAACGCTGAAACGTCTGTGCGGCGTTACAGAGTCCGAAAGTCATCACAGTAAATTCGTATAACCCGAACGGGGTGATCACCGCGGTTTTTGGTATATCCTCTTCCGCGATGGGTACTTGGTTGTATGCTTTGAATAAATCTAACGAAGAAAAAATGTTTTTTTTATGTAAGTTTGCTGAAAAGTCATGCAAATGCGGTATGGGATATTTATCCAGGACTGTCATTGCGTTGAGACGACGGTAATCCCCACAGATCCTCCATTCGCCCGTTTTCTTCGGGACCATATGAATAGGGCTGGCCCATGGGCTGCTATAGGGTCTGCACAGACCGAGTTGGACCATGCGTCCGAATTCCGCTTTGGCTGCCTTTAATTTATCCGGTGGTAATCTTCGTGGGCGTTCAGCGACCGGGGGCCAGAAGTAACAATAGTGATGATTCACCGCACGCGGCGAAAATGCGCGATTTTGTGCGATTCCCGTGACTTCAGGGAATTCCGCAAAAATGTGCGCAAACTTAGTTGAACGGTCAATGATGGAAATTTTTAACGCGGGTGTCACTATAATCTTCCCTCTGACGGACAGAGTAGTATACTGATCGGTCAGTGTGCCTTCGTGCAAATTAACTGTTAGGCGATAATGTTTTAATAAATCGGCGCCTATTATGGCGAAAGGTATATTCGCGACGCAAAAGTTCCATGTAATGGGTCTGCGAAGACCTAGATTAAGTGTTAGACATAATTCACCGTAAGTATCGATGCGTGAGTTATTTGCGGAGTACAATTTTAAGGCGGCTGGAGTTCTCTTACTCGTGTAAGACACCGGATACACCGAAACTTCCGCGCCTGTATCCACAAGGAATTTTTTACCAGTGGTTCTGTCAAAAACGTGGAGACGATTCTCAGTGTTAATGCCTCCGCCGACCGTCTCTAATCGGGGAGGTTCTTTTAGTTTTCCTGCTTGCTGTTACTCCAAGAGCATGGTGACTGGCACCGGCGTGCCTTGTCACCGAATTTGCGGTGATAAAAGCACTTTTTACCTGTGCTGTTAGGTCTATTACGTTTCTTTGCATTACGGTACGACGGACCGGGCGACTTGAAACGTGCGCGGGATTCTCTTTCGCGCAGTAGTGCATTCATGCCGTGAACTAATTGTTTTAAAACCGATATCTCGGATGCGCCGTTGGCGCCGCCAACGGAGGACGATTGAGGGGTGCGGCGGGCCGATGTATCTCCTGGTCCCGAACTCGTCATCGCGGCTAACGAGTTATTCATTGTCATTGAATCCGCGATCTTGTCGGCTATCGTCGCGAACTTGCCGAGGCTCATCGATCGTTGCTAAAATTATACGGTAGTTTTCCGGCAGCTGTTCCATGAACAACGTTTTAAGGATGCTATCGGTGACTTGGTCTCCAGCCAAATTTTTAAGTTCTAATAAAAAATGAGACGGTTTCTTATCGCCGAGAACCTGTCCCTTTAGTAATTGTCGCAGTTTAACGTTCTGGGACACCGAGAAAATGTTTAACACACGCTCTTTTAAAGCGTCATATTTATTGTTCGATGGTGGGTTCATGATTAAATCTTTGATGTGCGGAAGAATCGCAGTGTCAGCGTTTGCTAAAATAATATGGAATTTTGTGGTATCATCTACGATTCGCGCTACTTGAAAAGAGGCTTCCACTGTGGCAAACTAAATCTCTGGATCATTAGCCCAGAAAGGCGGAATTTTTGGTACTCTGTATGAATTTACTTGATTCGCTTCTTCCGCCATCGTAGATACTAAACGCAGGATTGCCAGCCAAAAACACGGTGAATATTCACGAAAATGCGCAGGCTCGATCGACGACGTATGCGCGCGAAACAGACAAAGGAAATTTACAGGCGCCGGCGTCGTACAAATGATTAACGGTCGGAGAAGTAAATAAGACAAAATACAATGAAAGATTAAAATCGCCTCACGAGTGTCACTAAACCAATCTGCAATTACCGCCGTTGATCTGCGATGTTTCAGGAATGCGCTCGTCCTGACGGATGTGAGGGTTCTCTCTGGCTCCTTGGCTTTGTTGATTGCGTCGAAACTGCGGATTTTCGATGACGGGGTGTCATTAGGTCCTGCCGCTCTGGCTCTTCCCTTCACGTTGTGGCAGGCGATGTCTCCGGAAATAACAAATGGCGGGCCGAAGTCCTGCCACGTTCCACGTGCGGCCATCTGTATTTTCACAAATTGGCACTTATCGTGGATGAGTGCGCTCTCGCGGCTTTGTAGACCCGCAGCACGACACAAAGCAATGATCGCGACAGAAGCGTTATACGACGGATTATGACGCAAGTACTGTTCTACGCAGTACTCGCGGCGCACTAATTCCATTTGCGTCAAGTCACTCAGGCACTGCTCTTCCGTAGCCTCAAAAAAATTTCCGGCCTTTAGCTGCTGTCAATGCGAGAATTGTTCGCTTTTTTTGTTGTGTCGGGTCTCGGTAATCACGTCGGGGTCATCACTTTTATAGGCAGCAGATATCTTAATATGGCCGGCGTCGGTAGCGTCGTCGTTCGTGCCTCCTGTGTGCGTATAGTCACCAGGCTAGTAGGAGGAGAGGGTAATTACTCAACTCACTGGCGTTAAGAAACTGAATAACACTTTATTGTCTTGAGTGTCGTGCGATATTGCAATATATGTAAAGGCGGGTTCGAGACGTCTTGCCCGAGAGCTGTACCAAGACTTTCTGTCTTCGAAACCAAAAAGGGGACGAAATCGCGCCAAAGCGTTCGTAAATTCGCTCTCTCTATGCCATAACGTACACAACTTATATAAAGAGGGATCGCTAAAAGAAAAAGGACGCTGAACCTACATCCTAACTACACCGAAAAAGAACCTCATTTACTCCTCATTTGCTCCTCATTGTACATGCCCGCGCATATGTCAAAAAGAATATGCAAATCAACAGATTACTACTTGAACGTGCTACTAATCCATAGAAACTAAAATTATTTCGTTTAGAGGATTTCGTTGGTACCAACATTATCCTCTCGGGAAATTGTCGTCTAACCCTTTGTTTGTATAATTTTCGGTATGTGAATTTCGGTCTTTGAATTTATATTTCTTTTTATTATTTCTAATTTTTATCATCGCTTTCAGACGATGAAGAATCTATTAATTCTCGAGGTGGCACCCGTTTGACCACGTCCCGATTGACCACTAGCTACTCACAGCGCTTGAACAGTGGAAAAATTCTAGGCACCAGTCCTTGTGAGTAGTTGTGGTTAAACGGGACGCTCCCAATTTTCGCACTATAAATGCTATAATAATTTTTTAATAATAGTTTTCTTCGATCTTGCTCCATTTTGCCGTTTGGTTAGATTTAACGCTATACTCACTATCGTTGTTTATGGTTCGCATTCGATAGCACTATTTTAACTCCGTGAACACAGTCGGTAGCGTTAGCGTTGATGGCACGGTAGCGAGCTCCCCAAATGCAGACCCGGAGAGCACAGATATTTAGAAAGAGACATGAGAGCGTCCCGTTTGACCATGTTGCGATTGACCACAGCCACTCACAGCGACCGGTGCCTAGAAGTTTCCCTCCATTTAAACGCTATGAGTGGATGATGGCTAATTTTAAAGTAAAACGATCAAAGATCCTAGAGACACTGCCGAACTGCGCACACAAGAGACCTGTTCTTTTTGGCTGAACTGATTGTACTAGGATGCGTTCCTTTATTCACTCCGAGTGCTCATGACGTAATGGAAGTGTACTGCGACTATCCGTTTCATTTTAGTTTGTGCGCTTTCTAAGGGTACTGTCACATGCGGCGTAACTTGCGTAAGGATGAATTCCCACTGAGTGCGTCACGCGTTGCGTCATCCGTCGCGTCACGAATTGATCAATCAAAACATCCCATTTTATTATATCATTTGCCGCGCGACTCTTTGCACATCGATTAGATTGCTTAACATTCTAGAGACAAGGATTCCCAACAAAAGGAAGAAAATAGATTCCAAATTACGCACGTTTATAATTCTACAAACACAAATTAAAGAAATAACACTTGAATTAAAATAATATATATTTGTATAT